GGGAGCCATTCCCTCCAGCTCATGGCTGAGTGCCCCAGCACGGCGCAGACCGCAGTGCCCCAAACTCACCGTGCCGGAGACGGCCCCGGATGCGAAGCTGATCATGAACGTGGCCTCATCCAGCCGGGTCTGCCCACAGAGCCACTCCTTCACCAGCTCATAGTTAAACCAGTAGAGAGCTGGGAGGAGATAAACACCAGTGCTCCGGCATGACACCCTGGACACACCAAACTTCCCTTGCCCCACGCACAGGGCTGCCCTGCCCCATGCTCATCCCTGCCACGTCCCAGTGCCACCCCGTTTCCCCACAGCCGTACCCGAGAAGGGCACGTCTCGCAGCACGGTGGGTCCCCAGCCCCTCCAGAGGGACAGCCAGCCGTCCTGAGCCACCGCCGACTGGATGCAGATGCCCAGCTCCCGGTAGCTGAGCTGCCGGGACTGCATCTTGGTGCGGATGAGCTCCAAGGGGCTGATGACTGTCACGGCGCCCACTGCAACGGAAGGGACATGGAGCATCAGCCCCCTCGGCTCCAGCAGCCATCCTGGAGCCATGAGAGTCCGTGGCAGGAGAGCCAGGTGACAAACGCGGGCACCAACAGCCAAGAGACCTGTCGTGCTCTCCTGGGAGGAAGTAGGGTGGGCACCAGGGGAGCCCCGGAGCGGAGGGGTACTCACGCCTGGCAAGGGCCCCGGCCAGCAAGGGGATGTGGTGCCCCCGGCTCCCCGTCCGAGCGTGCAGGTAGTCCCGGAGCTGGTCGTAGGTGGTGAAATAAATGACGGTGGCTGGCACGGCCATGACCCTGTCAAGGAGAAGGGTGTGAGGGGCATGTGTACCCTCCCTGAGGGCTGGCAGGAGGCTTGGGGTAGATGCCCATGCACCCAGGCAGGTGTTAGCACCCGGAATTCCCTCCCCAGGCAGGATCCAAACTCACAGGGTGGGGGGCAAGCCGCTCCACAGAGACCTGATGCCCTCATAGCGTGTGATCTTCACGAAGGCATCCTGGGGAGAGAGCAGAGCACCAGGGAGAGGAGTTAGAGGGGGCAGACGGGCAAGTACCCTCCCAGCAAACACCACGACGCCCTCTCTGGGACAGAGAGGCTTCTGCCCACTCTGCCTGTGCTCACAGCCCCTACCAGCGTGCCAGTGAAGCGAGTAGGGGCCTTGTACCAGGCGGTGCAGCCGCTGCCATTCTGGCAGACGTACAGATGGTCCATGAGCCCGTTGCAGTAGAGGAAACACTTCCCTAGGGCAAGAGGGAACAGCATCGCCGTTAGACAGGAGACTCCTCCCCTCCACCCCACATCCAGCCCATTTGATCGCCAAAACCATCATCTCTTCCAGGAGAGGGCTAAAACTCTGAGCAAGGGGTCTGACCATGGCCAGCCCCACGGGGCAGGGGGCATCCAGCCTCACCACGGGGATGGGGGAACAGCAGGAAAGGTTTACGCCTTGCTCAGCATCAGCTCCGCTGCCCTGGCAGGGTGGGGATGCCATCGCAGTGAGCCAGGACGGCCCCTCCACCATGCTCGTGGGCCAGGCACAGGGATGCCAGGCAGCAGGGAGCAAGCTTGGCAGCGGAGATCCAAGGGGACTCTGATGTAGCGACAGGACAGAGTGACAAGACAGGGCAAGGACGGGGGACTGCAGACAGACATCCCTGTTGCACAACAGACCCCGCACAGACCCCCCGGGCAAGGACCCAGCAGAGACACCGCATGGCCAGCCCCAAAGCAGGGCTGCAGGAGCAGCTGCAGGGCTGGGGACAATCTCAGCCCCTACCCCGGAGCGGGATGTCCTCTCAGCCAGAGGAGCCCAAGCCGCCACCAGCGAGGAAGAGAACCAGGATCAAGGCTTGGCAAAGCGAAGCCACTGGCGGTGGGAGCTGCCCGGAGCCCCTGGGCGTACTCACATGTGGCCTGCTGAGCGCCCCAGGGCACACACTGCGCTGGCAACGCTGAAACACACAACAGGGACATGCTGAGCCATGACACAGGGGACGTGCCACCTGCCCGGGCTGGGGCACACACGTGTGCCCCAGCTCTGAGTCCGGCAGTGGGAGAGCTCCGTGGATAACGGGGCTGGATGTCCCCGCAGCTGCTTCCCGAGCAGTCCCTGTC